GAAAAGTGGTTTTTATGTACTGTAACCTCATTTGACATACACCTTGTAAAACTTTTATGACTTAAGCGGCTTAAACCAAAGCCCGTTATAAGTCAAACTGGCTACTGTATTACTTAACTCAGTTCACAGCTCCATTATGCCAACAATGGACAGTAATAAACCTTGCGGTTCGGGTCCACAAAGCTTACAATAGCCAGGCTTAAGAGGCTTAACTCATAAAAGTTTTACAAGGTGTATGTAAGAGTGTTCCGCGCTGTCATTGGCTGCAGTGACGGAACTCATGTGCCCATAATTTCTGTGGGAGGAAATAATGCAGAACTGTCTCGGAACACGAAAAATTATTTTTCTGTCAACGTCTAGGCAGTCTGTGGTGCAAATTATTGATACGAGATACTGATGCCAGATGGCCTGGATCAACACATGATAGCATAATTTGGAATGCCTCACTTTTACAAGCCAGAAGTGAAAACACATAATTTACACCTAGTCTCTTACTAGGTGTGACAGCGCCTATGCACTTTTTCTTGCTTCTATAACCGAAAAATGTAAAATCATTACAAAAAAAATAATAATAATAATAATAATATCCTTGCTTTGCCATAAATCACATGCTACACTCCAGTGTCAATGTCAAACAACTAGCAGTCCACGCAGACGCATTCCACTTTCCACTCAGGTTGTTTTAAAGTGGACAAAAGTACTTTGACGTCTTCTGTGCTACTCCCACAAACGTAAATTAATCTCCTCAACCATATTTTTCGTTACACAATTCCAATATCGGAAGAACCGAACCCTTCGGATTCAAACAAACTTTTTAATAAATTGTTGAGACTTCACTTGTCAGATTATAATTCTAACCTTATTTTTTTTCTTCACCCTAAAAAAACCCCTAGGCATGTTGCCATTTATATTTTCAGATAAGAGTGCGGCGTTGGTGGACCTTCACACCTTAGTATAGTGTTTGCCATTTCTATTGAAACACCACTTTTTAATCGTAAATTTGGCAACGTTCATATTCAGACAATTTTCTAACTAAAAGCCGTTGTCAATCAACCGAAAGCTGTTACCAATCGCTAAATTTTGAGCAAAATCAACAGGTGGTGTTTCAATAGAAATGACAAAGACAATAGATTCTCCTCTTCCCTACTTCTCACTATAAAAGTGTTTAGATTGGATTACATGAATTCAAATAAAGTTCACTTTTAGTTGAAATTTTTTATTGTTCATGAAATCAATATCAAAATGAGTAACAATCCAGCTTTATTAAGTGAGATCGCGAAGAAAAAGTGATGAACAAAATTATTGTGAACATTTTTTAGTACATTATTATGAGAGAATGAGTGGGAAACATTTTATGCTGAAACTAAACCTTCTCTACATTTTACCTATATTGCGAACGAAACCCATAATTTTTACATACTTATGTCAATAGTGCGTCCGCTTATTTGGTGTTTATAGAGCCAATGATGGAAGAGAGGCTGTAGAAAACATTAAATTCATAAAAAAAAAGAACATCATGCGAATTTTGTAAGTTCGCTCAGAGAATATTTTTGAAATGGGGCAAATTGGTGCGAATGGTGTATTTCACAACCTTATTTGAAATAAAAAATTACGTACAATGTTGTATCGAGATCCGCAACCTGCTACGCATCTAGAACGCATAATGAAAGACCACTAATTTTACTTCGAAGAAGGGGTAAAAGAAGCTGTAACCAACTTCTTTGCGAACAAGACAAAGATTTTTTTTAATTGTGTAACAGCAGGGACACATCGAGAGACGTTATTAAAAAGAAAACAGGAAAACTAATACATTTCAACATTTCGTATCTTGATATCCTCTCTCGAAGATACATAATTTCAAACTTAAAAAATTATTTTTGGAGTAAAGTTGCGAAAGATTAATCTGTTGAGCATCACAGCAGCTAAACTATTACTACTGCTTCCAGATAGAAGAACTACAGCAGATTAAACTGAAAGATTTTTCAACATGATCACCGTAAACACTCCTTTAATTTGTAAGAAAATGGTTTCAGAAAAATAATGTCGCAGTTTGAATGATCTAGCTAGTCGCAAGATTTAAATTCAATGGAACTACTGTAGAAAACGTAGAACGAAGAATGTCACAAAATTTCAGGACTAATGGTGAACTCAGAAATAAAATTATAGAAGATTGGCAAGGAATTCCACAGAATGTTATTAACAATTTCATGAACTATGCCTAAGCGATGTTTAGCAGTCATATAGAAACACTGGCTAAGAAAGTTCGTAAACTAAATATTTTGAAATTCTGTTACATTGTAACGGACGATAAATTAATTATTTTTGGAGATGTCAATATGAGTCAGAACCATCACCCCCGTAGTAAGAACAATCGTCATTAAATCAAGGTTGTCCTTGTGAATCCTTATGACTTCACACCAAGCTAATCAAAGTTTATAATTTAACAGTTAAATACTGGCGCCACTGTCGTCATGATGTTTTTGTCCAGTTTTATAGTTCATAGTTTAAATTGGAAATAAAAAGCTTTTAAAAAAAGATGCTGTCCCATCGATTTTTAATTTTCCACAACATCTGCAAAGGAAGATTTCGTCGAGAAAAATTATTTCAGACGCACGGAAGTAAGGTTCTGTAACCGTTTATGGTAATATTTGGGACATAATGCATGTTTTCTAGGAACCAATGGACACTTCTTGCAATGAAATTAATAAGGTTGTTGATGTTAATAGTTCGGCCAAAAAAGCTTCAGATATATGTACGCAAAAACCAAATTTTATATCCAAATCTCAGGCATATTTAAAAATAAAACGTAATTTAAAAGAATTTAAACAGAAAGTAAAACGTAGGGACACAAACATTAAAAACATGAATGACTTGATAAAACGTTTGAAAAACAATAATAAATCATCTGTATCCCTTGAAGAAACTTTGAAAAATAATTTTCAAGGTTTATCGCTAGAATTGTCTAAAAATGAATCTGTCAATTCTAAATGTGCAAAGAGTCAGAGAAGATATTGAAAAGCAATGTAAAAATTTGCCCTTACTCTTTATTTTTATTCCCCTTAGGCACTCCATTTCGTTCGTAATAAACTTTGCCTTCCTCACAGCAGCACAATTAGAAAGTGGTTGTCATCAGTTAATTGTAAAGTTGTTTTTTTAACTGAAGTGTTTGAATTTTTAAAACAAGAAAATTTCAAACCTGATTGTTTGTATTTAAAAGACGTTGCGTTAATCTTTGATTCGATGGCCATAAGAAAAGCACTTGAATATATATGTATATGATGAAAAAAATGGTCTTTCAAATAGTCTCGTATACAATAAAATTCCAATCCAATTGCTTATTTTTTTGTAAATAAAGTAACAGCAAAGCTGCATAAACAATTTATTTTGTTAGCAGTTGAAAATTAGATAAAATTGGAATTAAGATTAGATCAATTACTTGTGACGATTGTCCAACTAATATGTCAACTTTTATGCCCGTTTGCACCAGTTCTGGTTAAATGTGGCCGTTTGCTAACCACCGTTAAAGTTAACCATAGGGCTAAACAAGACTTGCTTTGCACCGCGCGTTACAAGACCCAATGTTAACTAACCAAAGGTTAATACACGCGTTGTTTGGCAACGTCGCAAATTTGAGGGTATTTGATGATAGCCGTTGGTAGCATTGGTGTGCGCACATGGTTTTGTGTACCAAACAGAGACTTTAATTAAAGTCGCTGGTACCAAAGAGGTTAGAGACAGCTGAATCTGCTGTTTACTCTTCGTTCAGTGAGTACATTTTAGCGCATCAAACGAAAGCGACTCTTGATTACTTATTACCTTGTTACTAGTGATGTAAGTATTGTTGCTTTAATTGCAGTCAGTTTTTTAAGTTATGGAAGGCAGAGGAAAAAAAAGGATGCGTGCACCAAACTTTTCCATTGACGAAAAGTTGCGAATTTTATACGTTATAGAAAAGTATAAGGATGTGGTTGAGAACAAAAAAACCGACGCTCTAACGTGGCAAGAAAAAAATGCAGCGTGGACTAAAATTACTGCTGAGGTAAACTCAAATGGTAGTGTACCTCGCACAGTGGAAAATATTAAAGGTTTCTTTGAAAACCAAAAAAGAAGTACTAATAAAAAAGCTGCAGTTGAAAAAAGGCAGTTGAGGCGAACCGGGGGAGGCAGCACAACTGCTATTGTAGATGATCCCACATTTGGGATCACTATGGAAATTTTAAATAAAAAAAATATTTATGGATTACAAAACCTTTATGATGGAGATGGCGACGATTTAGATCCTGGCAATTCAAAAGTAAGAATAAAGTTATTTATGTGGTGGTGTACAATAAATATATAAAAATATACATATTGTAGGTTGATGAACAAACATTCCAAGGCGCAGCAAGTACTTGCGAAGAATACGAAGATACTTTACAGGGGCCCTCTATTAATTCAAAGGTAACGTTATAAAGCAAATATTGCAAAAATGTAAATGTTTACATTTTATACTTTCAGGTTGAAAACTCGACAGATTGGGGCAATTCATGCCCAGCCCAGTTGCAGGCTCCAATGAATCCCAAACTGGCGGCACTCATTGACAGGCAAACACAAAAACAAATTGAAGTCCCTGCAACTCCGTCAACGTCAACTTCATTTACTAATAAAAAAGTAAGTTGTAGTTTTTCTTTTATTAAAATTTAACAATTATGCACATTACAGCAAGAAAATACATCACACTCAAGGAGAAGACCATCTTTGCACTCTTCAACAAATGTGGCCAGAAAATATGAAGAAGTGGCAGAAAAGAAAAAAACATTATATGATATTCAAATTTCCATTTTTCGAAAATTTCAAGAGCAGCAGGAGGAAATGGCTCGTAACTATCAGCATGATTTAGAAGAGAGAAGAAAACATGACGAAAAGATTCGTTCTCTACAAATTCAAAAAGAAGTGTTGGACATTGAAATAAAAAAGGCCCAATTAATAGCTCTACGGAAAGGGATAGAAAATGAATAACATTATTAGTGTTATTAATATTGTATTTTATAAGTATTAATGCTAACAAAATGCTAACTATAAATTAATTCATAAATTTCCAAAATAATTTTGAATCAGAAAATCCCTCGTTCCATCCACATGCCTTCGGTTCCTAATATCCCCAGGTGCAACTATTTGCCCATCCTGGATTAGCCTTTCTAGCTGCTCTTCATTAACCAATTCAGGAAGAGGTGGAGGCACATTATCATTGTGGCGGAGTGCCAAATTATGTAAGACACTTGCAGCTACAATGATAATTAAACATGTGTCAACTTTTAGCCTACACCCATAAGCTAGTATAGGGAATCTTCTCTTTAAAACGCCAAAACATCTTTCGATAACATTCCTAGTCCTAATGTGGCTTTCATTATATAACTGCTCTGGAGGTGTTCTCGGATTTAATAGGGGTGTCACTAAATACTTCCCATTTGCATAGCCACTGTCACCTAAAAATGTTATAAATAAATTTGAAGGTAAAAAAGTAATAGGTCTTATATTTTACCAAGAAGTAGACAATTAGGATATACATTGTCCTCAAAATCATCTTTAATACGGCTATGGTTAAAAATATTAGAATCATGGGCAGACCCTGGCCATCGAGCAACAACATTCATTATTTTCAAATTGGCATCACAAATCACTTGAGTGTTGATAGAAAAGTACTGTTTTCTATTGCGATATATTTCTCCATCAACTCCACCTAAAATTTACAAATAACTGAAAATTTCAATAAAATATATGAAAAACATTACCGGGAGATTGAATTTTTACGTGGGTACAATCAATGGCCCCTACAACTTTTGGAAATCCGCTAATAGAAAAAAAGTTCCGTTGATTTTCACTCATTTCGTCATTTGTACTAGGAAATTTTATATGTTGTCGATACAATCTTGCAATTGCTTCGGAAACTCTTTTCACAATTCGTGACACTGTCGACAAATGCATCCCCATAAAATCAGCTATGTTCTGAAGGTGTCCTCCTGTCGAAAACACTCGCAAACACGTCAAAATCTGATTCATGGGCGAAACAGCATTATTCCTAAAAGCAAATTCGATTGTTGTTTTGGTAACAAATATTTTTACATAGGTAATATTCTTACATATCAGATGGGAATTCCAATTCACGTTCAATCGATATTAATAGATCGAGAACACACGCTCTGGACAGTCGAAATCGACGACGAAAAGCTGCATCGTCCAGAGTATCAAAGTGGTTATGACGCGTATAAAGTTGTCGAGGCAAACCATTGAAGATGAAGTCGAGTACTTCAACATCCTCCACATCCTCCTCATCCTCATTAATTCTTATTTCAATTTCCATCATTTTTCTTTTTTTCTACACAACGATATGGCTCACACACCAAAGACGCCACTTGCCACACTTGTAAGATATATTTAATAAGAGCTGCACAGCTGATCACGCGCCGCCATCTTTACAAATAGTGTCTGTTAACTTAACCACCGCTTAACCACCACCCAATCTGCCGATTAAATTTGGTCGTCGTTAGTTCGAGTTAACTTACGGTTAGTACGCGGTGCAACGAAATTAACAAAATAACGGCCGGTTAAATTTTAACCAGAACTGGTGCAAACGGCCATTAGACTTTTGGGTTGCGATTTGTCTTCTGACGACAAGATGATTACTAAATTTTTAACCCAAACAACAATAATATAGATATACATTGCATTTTGTATCCGTGTCATATTTTAAAACTTTTACGAAATACATTTACAGAAATGTCAATATCTTCTCCTGCAGTCCAAATTTCTTTTAAATATATTCAAAAGTTACATGAGTTCCAAGAGCAGGAGGATTGAAAATTGGCAAATTCATTGTCAATAGCTCAAATAAATTTTTATAAAAAAATGTTATTGCCAAACATGAAACAGATGAATTGGTTTCAACTTTACGAAAGACTGAATTTTCAATACTCATTGATGAGTCGGCAGATATTTGTGATAAAAGACATATGTGCTTATTAGCCCGTTATGTTAATCCTTGTTAGGTGCAATAGAAACGAGACTGCTAGAATTAATTGAAGTCAATGCTATAGACTGTACAGCGCAGAAGTTATATACAGAATTTAAAAACTGCCTTAACATATATGAAATTCCTCTAAAAAATGTAATTGGAGTGTGACATCTGTATTGTGGAGAGTTTAGTTCATCCACCAGCAAAAGGAACCATAACGTATCTGATTTGAATTTCATTTTACGACCTTTCTATAATTTGGAAAATTCGTTGTCACCTGCTTCAACGACATCATTAAACAGTTTGGCTGCCGATGAAATCTAAGATTATCTGATAATAGTTTAACTTCTATCTCTGTTCGACTCCTTCACAGTCATCTACATCGTTAAATTAAATTATATCCAAAGAACACCAGAATTTTTTTCTAGATAAAGCACTAAGTAGAGTGCTTTATCTAGAAAAAATTCGGTTATTTATTTATTAGTACTAGATTTTGTACCTGTTCCCTACAAAAGGGAAAATGCTTTCATTGGTAATCCCACAGCAAGGAATGAACCAACTACTTTTAATTTTGTAAGTTGATTTACATTCTTATATTGTTCTGTTCTGTATTTTTTGTTATGGCAAATAACATTTACTATGCTATTATGTTTCGCTAAAAACGTCAGTTGTTGCAAACAAAGTCCTTTGAAACGTCATTAACCCTACCCTACAGAACAATCTACTATCAATCATTGTTGAAGAAGAATTGCGAACCCATTTGGATAAAAGATGAAATAAATTATTTTTTAAAACCATTAGCTTTGGAGAAATAAAAACTTTTTTATAGAATTCCTTGAAGACGGTTTATTCAACTCGCACGCCATATTAAACAGTTATTTCCAATTGAAAGATTAATTGATACATTATACAATGTACATCAACGTGAACAGAAAATACAAAAAGTGTGAGCTTGGAAAAAAAATGTATAAATACCACAATAGTAGAAAAACATTAAGGCAGTCTGGTATTTTAGAGAATAAAGGCGACAGCAGCAGTACGTTTTCTTTTTTAAACAATAGAAATTTTATAATGTACCAACTGTATTTATAGAAACCTCGGAAGAGGAATCGAATGCAGAAGACGATAACTATGAGAATATCGTACAATGGTTAGAAATAACTACGAATTGTGGCCACAAGTGATTGAACATTGGAAGGAAACATCGAAGACTAGGCTAAAAAAGTACAACGAGAATCAGCCTACAATATTTGAATATCTAACAATATTCCCTGCACTTAAGAGACCTCTTGGATACACTTTAGTACGCAAGCTATTGGAAATTATTATTTTGTACGAATATATCTTGAATTTCATTTACATTTATGTTATAACATGAAATTTATAATTGCGTACCCTTACCTGTTTAGGTTAGTGCCTAATAGATTCATTCACATTCGTGCTAGCGTGTTGTTAAGTTCACTTAAGTTTATGTTTCCCTGTGTTATTGTTTGCAATTAAAAAACAGTTCTTTTCAGAACTAAATAAATTATTTTTTTTATTTTTAAGGTAAATAAATGGCAACTGTCTAATAAGCAACAAAAGAAAACACAGATAACTTAAGCGTTATGAATAGATTCGTGTTTTGTGTTTATTGGGTTAATTCAAACAATTTCTTTAAAAAGGTCCATCATTTTCAATGCAAATTCATGGTGTACACGGGAAGAGGTCACCTGAAAAAGTCGTTATCTATCTTTTAGATGGCATATTAAATGTTGGACATTCTTTATACATGGGCAATTTTGACAATAGTCCGGCTCTTGCCAAAACGTTGCTGAAACAAAACACTCATTGGACAGGCACACTCTCCATAGACCGAAAAGACTGTCCAGCTTAAGACAAAGAAAAGAGATTGAAGATGTTCAGACGGGGTATTAGTGGCAAATGGAAGGATAAGAAAGATGTGTGTTACATTTCTAGCGAGTATGATGATACCATGTTAAATGTTGCAAGCAAAAGAAGAGTTATTAGAAAAAAACCTTTGCCTATAATCCGATATAATACATCCATGGCAGGAGTAGATACGCTGGATCAACTACTATCATATTATCCACGTGAACAAAAACTAGAAGGTGACCGAGAAAAGTTTTCATTCATCACTTTCAAATGATGGGTAATCAATGCTCATCGTCTCTGCAATAAATCTTTCGATAAAAAGATGAACTTGTGTGATTTCAGAATTGCGGTAATAATCAAAATGTTACCAATACCAACTCTGGTTCTGGAGAATAAGCCAAAATTTGATGCACATTATTTGGTCAAACGTGAGGAGAAAACCTCGTCTGGAAAAATAAAGGGAAAAGTTTGCAAGATGCATTACAAAACGAGTGACCGCACGGATACAATATACGTTTGCCAGAAATGCTCTTTATTTTCGTTCTTTGCTTGTGCTTTTGCCTTCCTTGGAGGACCGACTAATTCTATCTTCTCCTTTCCCTAATCCCGAGCTTGTTTGATCACCCTGGAGACCAACGAGTTTCGAGCAGGAAAACTGTAAGGGATGTAATCCGTCGAGGTCAGACTAAATATATTTTTTGATTATTATTATATTTTTTTATTTGTTTGTTAAAGTTATTTTGTTTTGTTTGGTCCATCACATAAGCCAACACTTAAGTTTGGTATATTTTTTTTTAATTTGGTAAAATTAGTACCGGTTGAATTTGATCAAACACTTCCGTAATACAAATAAATTCGCACCGCTGTCGGCAAGAAATTGTATCCTTTTACCAACCGCACTAGTGGACAGTCACTTTTTCACATAAAAATGCCGTCCTACAAAATTATGATGAAACTTTGTAAGTCGGATCTCCAAAGTTATACTACAATTATAAACTTATCAGGACTGTACATTGAAATACCACTACGATGAAGAGATTTTTTTAATGGTTTCAAAGCAGAAACACATGGATGGAGATGATAAAAACTTTTTGGGGTAAACTTGCGAAAGATTAAATAAATAAATAAATAAATAAATAATTTTTATTTGTACTTTAACACTACATTGGTTTTGTACACGTCAAATTTGTAAACATACATTAAGATATGACAACAATATCACATAATTTCATAGATCCACGGACTATCTTTTAGAAAATCGTCTATCTCATAATACGCCTTACTTAAGAGCACTTTTTTAATAGTTTTCTTAAAAATACCTATTTTTAGCTCTTTTATTTGAGCTGGCAGCTTGTTGTAAAATTTTATGGCATAGAATTCAACTCCATTTTGTGTCTTGGTTATTCTACATCTCCTAGGACAAAGTTTATCATTATGTCTAGTGTTATAACTATGTACATCATTATGGCGATTATAATTATCCAAATTACATTTAATGTAAGTGAGGCAATGAAAAATATACAGGCTAGGCAGTGTGAGTATTTTCATATCAACAAATTTATTTCTGCAATCCTCTCTGAAACCTAGTTTTGCCAAGATACGAATTGCCTTTCTCTGTAAACGAAATAACCTATGACGAATGGCAGAGTGACCCCATATAATTATACCGTATGATAGATGTGCTTCCAAAAGCGCGTAGTAAGCCGCCCGGAGAGTGTCATGGCTAACTTGTTCTTTAAGATTATTTAGAAGAAAAATAGATTTCGAGATTTTATTTGCTAAAAAGTTACCATGTACCGCCCATGTAAGTTTGGAATCGAGATATATTCCCAAAAATCTAACTGAATCATTGAAATTTGGTGGGACTTCAATTCTCTTTAAAGTAAAGATAACATTTACCGATTTTTCCATGTTTAGGCATAGATCATTATTATTGAACCACTCCAAGGCCTCCGACCGGGCCAAAGCTCCAGCCCGACAAACAGATTCAATCTCCGACACCTCACTAGCCAGGGTTGTATCATCAGCAAAAAGTGTGGTTTTACTAGTTAAGCAGAAAGGCAAGTCATTGATAAAAATTAGGAACAGCAAAGGACCCAGAATAGATCCTTGTGGAACGCCACGACTAATTGTCAAACACTGTGACAGTTTTCCTTTTACTTTAACAACCTGGCACCTGTTTTCTAAGTATGATTTTAGAAGTTTGACACTTGAGGAATCTAAGTTATACATGTTTAACTTGTCTAAAAGAATTGGATGGCTAACACAGTCGAAGGCCTTGGAGAGGTCCAAAAACGAAGCAACTCCAATCCTACCCCGTTCAAAGCATCTGCCAACAAAATCCACCAATCCTCGTACAGCATCGCTTGTATTACGTCGCTTTCTGAAGCCAAATTGGTCATCTGAGAACAATTTGTTGAGTTCTAAATAATTCTCTAATTGATCGAATAAAATCCTTTCAAATATCTTAGCAAAAATAGGAAGCAGCGCAATTGGTCTATAATTGGTGGGATCCTGTGTATCTCCTTTCTTGTAGATAGGAACTACAACAGCCATTTTTAAACAGTCTGGAAAGACTGAGTGTTTAATACACAAATTGATAAGTTTCGTCAGGGGAGATATAATTAAGTCCTTAATGCCTTTTATTATTTTTACATTAATACCGTATACATCGTTTGAACTTTTGTTTTTTAATTTATCTATAGCCTCCCGTACGTTGATAGGAGACACTTCA